GTGAATTGGTGGGTTTTTGTTAAATGTGAGCCAAAATCATCAAAATTAAAAGAACCAAAGACTTAAACTACTTCAGTCTGTGTGCATTGAATTTATTTAATACACGAGTTTCACAATTTGAGTTGAATTACTGAAATAAAGAAACTTTTCCACGACATTCTAATTAGAGATGCACCTGTATACAGGTACATCTCAAAAAAGTAGAATATCATGAAAAAGATCAATATTTTTTGTCACTCATTTCAGAAAGTGGAACCCATATATTATATAGATTCATTACACCGAGTGAAATATTTCAAGACTTTATTTCTTGAAATTTTGATGATTATGGCTTACAGATAATGAAAACCCAAAATTCAGTGTCTCAGAAAATTAGAATATTGTGAAAAAGTTCAATATTGGAAAGTCATGGTGTCACACCCTAATCAGCTAATTCCCTCAAAACACCTGCAAAGGTTTCCTGAGCCTTCAAAATGGTCTCTCAGTCTGGATCAGTAGGCTACACAATCATGGGGAAGGCTGCTGACTTGACAGAAGTCATTGACACCATCCACAAAATTTCATTGCTAAAGAAGCTGGTTGTTCACGGAGTGCTGTATCCAAGCATATTCATAGAAAGTTGAGTGGAAGGAAAAGTGTGGTAGGAAAAGGTGCACCAGCAAGAATGTGGGGGAGCTTCACAAGGAGTGGACTGAGGCTGGCGTCAGCGCATCAAGAGCCACTATGCACAGACGAATTCTAGACATGGGCATTGACATTCTAGACATTGACAGCTCTTTGGTCTTGGCCATGGTGGAGTTTGGAGTGTGACTGAGGTTGTGGACAAGTGTCTTTTATACTGATAACGAGTTCAAACAGATGCCATTAATACAGGTAACGAGTGGAGGACAGAGGAGCCTCTTAAAGAAGAAGTTACAGGTCTGTGAGAGCCAGAAATCTTGCTTGTTTGTAGGTGACCAAATACTTATTTTACCGAGGAATTTACCAATGAATTCTTTAAAAATCCTACAATGTGATTTTCTGGATTTTTTTTCTCATTTTGTCTCTCATAGTTGAGGTATACCTATGATGAAAATTACAGGCCTCTCTCATCTTTTTAAGTGGGAGAACTTGCACAATTGGTGGCTGACTAAATACTTTTTTCCCCACTGTATATGTGTGTGTCATAATAGCAACTCTATGAATGTAAATGTAATGATTTCACAAACTATAAACTATATACTTTCAGTTAAACTACAAGTTCTAATGAAAGCAAAAATGTCATAAATGTTAAATAACCCCATTACTTACAATAAATATCACATTTAAAAAAAAACACAAAGCATGCCGCTTGAGGCCTTCTGTACCAATAAAATTGGACCTAAGTCAAGGGGGGGGGGGGGCAAGGGCGGGGGGGGGGTCAGCTTCCTGACAGCCTGATGGATGAAGCTGTCCTTCAGTCTGCTGGTCCTGGCCTGGAGACTCCACAGTCTCCTCCCTGATGGCAGCAGACTGAAGAAGCTGTGTGTCGGGTGGGTGGGATCACCTGCAATGCAGAGGGCTTTGCGGGTGAGACGGGTGTTGTAAATGTCCTGGAGGGAGGGGAGAGAGGCACCAACGATCTTCTCAGCTGCTCTCACTATGCGTTGAAGTGTCTTGCGGCAGGACGCATTACAGGCGCCATACCTCACAGTGATGCAGCTCGTCAGAATGCTCTCGATGGTGCCTCTGTAGAAGGTGCACACACAGTCTCTCAGTACACGCCCAGGAATGTTGTCAGGACCCGGAGCTTTGCGTGCATTGATCCTGCTGAGGGATCTCCTCACGCTGTCCGGGGACAGTGTCATCACCTGGTCGCCGGGAGGAGGTGGAGTCTTCTGTGCAGTGGTGCTGTTTTGTGCTTCAAAGCGAGCGAAGACGACGTTCAGCAGGGAGATGGTGCTGTCACAGGTGTGTGGTGGGGGCTTGTAGTCCGTAATGGTCTGTATCCCCTGCCACAGGCTCCGAGTGTCTCTGCTGTCGCTGAAACGATGGGCTATCCTCCTGGTGTACTGTCTTTAAGGGTCTAATTTGACCTTTTAACTCAAATAAAAACGAATAGTTAAACAATTTTTTTTTTTTAAGTATTGCTATTAATAGGTAGCCAGAGTATAAATGATAAAATCGGGGTTTATTGTGGATGCAGGACAAGCACCGTGTAGAACATTACAATAATCCAACTAGCTTTTCTGCATCAGAAACAGAAAACATGTTCTGTAACATGGCAATGTTTCTATGGTAGAAGAATGTTGTTTTTGTAATGTGAAATATGAGTCTGAAATGACAAGTTACTAATATAACATTCATTTTTGTTCTACATTTTTCTGACATTCAATTTTCTGTTCATCTTTTGAAATTGTAGGTTCTACATATTTCACTTATTGCAACGAGGCTAAATGGAGCGCATTGATCAGTTCAATTTGATGTACTGAATTGAAACACTGTTGCTTTGGCAAAATACTTAGGCCTGGTTTCACAGACAGGGCTTAGACTAAACCAGGATTAGGCCATGGTTCAGTTAGGACATTTACGTAATTTTTATAAACGTACTTAAAAAAAAAAACACATTACTGGTGTGCATCTTGAGACAAAACAAAGGCACCGATATATTTTAAGATCAGTTAGTGCAAGTTTCTTTCAGTTGAAACCGCTCAGACTTACATTTTAGTCTAGGATTAGGCTTAAGCCTTGTCTGTGAAACCGGGGGTTTACTAATAAACGTGTTTTGCATAAATACCAGCAATATAACCACTCTTTACTAGCATGGCCAGCAGTTCTTCAAACATAAACAACAGAGGTGAATATATGGAAGAAAAATATCATAATCATGTCATGTCTTTGAAATATCAAAATATCATATATCATATATGTCATAAACAAAAAAGCATGTTGAATAGCACTAACTGAAAAAAATTGCATTAACAGTGCTTGCATTTTAATGATTTATCAAACTACCTGTAATCATTTTCTTGACTTCTTTTTTTGAGATAAACGTTTAAGCTATTCCCCCCTCTCGTGCTACATCTGTGTATTCTTTGAACATTGATTATTGCTACTAACAGCTCTATTCTTTATTTAAAGGTGAACAAATAGCTGCATGAGAATTCTGTAGACAACGGCAGAAAACATTCTTTTCTTACAGTACTTTTACTTTCCATCTGAATGAAGACTAAAATCTGTGCATGTGACAAGCATGTTTAAGTACACAATTATTAATGACATTGAAAATGAACACATTGACATTTCTCCAGATATTTAGCTGCTATGATCCATCCACACTGCAGAATGTCTCTCAGCCTCGAGATTTAATTGCTGTTAAAGGTCTGGATCTCCAGATCAGACAACATGTTCCTGCAACCACAGAGGACCAGATTATAATTTGATTCTTGAAATGTTTCATTCAACTCAAATCTCTAGGGTTGCCCAAAAAGCAACACTTACCTCTGCCCCTCTGTGAGCTCAAACTCCTGCTGGACCCTCTGGATGAGTTTTGGGGTCTCAGGCAAACAGAAGCCAGCTGAGATCTGCACCAGCTCCACCGCCTGATTCACTTCACCAGCCTCCTTTACACACGTCAAGAACTTGTTCAACAGCTCCTCACTGAGAGAACAACACATCAGTGTGAATACTCAGACTATGACGACAATTTTAATTTAATTTAGCTTCTTTGGTGCAAAAAAGTGGATCTGGGTTTTTAAAAACTTGAAATCCTTGAAATCCTAAAAAAAAAAAAAAAAGGTAATTTCTAGTTTAGACATTTTTCTAACTGCTTCATTGTAAAACACAAACGCCACGGAAAATCACTTGTCAAAGTTTCTGAGACCCCTGATCGTACCTTGGAACTCTGTTGTGTGTTTTGAAGAGTTTCAGCATTTCCCTGAATGAAGAGAAGAGGAAGAAAACCTGTGAGGTGCTTTAACTCTATTTGACCTGGATCATATTACAGATATGCATTAAGGATGTTACCAGGCATCCTGTCTCCTATGAGCTGCTAGTAATACAGAGATGAGGTCACTGAGAGAACCGGCAGTCCAGCTCAGCAAAACTTTGCCCCGATCACCCGTGTCGTATATTTTCTTGATGTCCAGCGCACACTCAGCAAACGACTCCTGCACCTGTCCAAAAAGTATATAGTGAAAGTGGCCAAGTATGGTGACCCATACTTGGAATTAGTGCTCTGCATTTCACCCATCCAAGTGCACACACACACACACCGTGAACACACACACGGAGCAGTGGGCTGCCATATTGCTGCGGCGCATGTGCATTACAAACCAGCACTATTTTTACAGACTGACACTATACAAACACTTTATACAACATTTTTTAAAATTAAAAAATAAAAAAACAGAAATTGGCTTTATAATCCACTGACAAGGCATAGAATTGAAAAGAAAATTAATCAAAGGAGGAAGACTTGTAGAAGGCATGAGTATCAACCAATATAGATGTAGATGAGGTAGAGGTAATACCTCCTGATTGTGCTTCTCTCTTGCCATAAGTGTCAGCAACTCTTCCACTAGATTCTGCCTGTTGGCATGGCCCAACTGTTTGATATCTGTGGAAGAGGACATAAAAAAAATGTATACTTTAAGACCGTTGTCTAAATGTGATGCCAGAATAAAACATTAGAGATGCACAGATTGCAATTTTCTTGGCCGATTCTGATTTCCGATTTTCTTTTGTAAGTGTGACCTGCCGATACCGATTTTCTTTCTAAAAACTATACAAACAAAAATGAATAAATTAATTTATGTAATAAATTATTAAACATTACAATTCCCCCAATCTGGACAAAGTTACAGATGTTCTCTCACTTAAACAACTCTCAAAATAAAATGTTCTGTGATGAGAAAAGAGGTAGAAATAACAATTAACTGAAAAGGAGTTGCTGTACTGTTTAACAAAACAGACGTCATTTCCCACTGTTTCTTAAAGGGGTCATATGATGCGATTTCAAGTTTCCCTTTCTCTTTGGAGTGTTACAAGCTGTTCGTGAATAGACAAGATCCCTAAAGTTGCAAAGACTAAAGTCTCAAACCCAAAGAGATATTCTTTATAAAAGTTAAGACTCGTCCACGCCCTCCTAAAACGCCTCATTTAAACAAGCCCCCACATGTCTATGTCACTGTGTGGGAAGATTTGCATAACGCCGCCCAAATGTTCATGCAAAGAAAGAAGGCGTAACTTTATTGTTGCTGCAACCGCCGCCGCAATGTTGTGAAGACGCTGTGTGTTTTTGCAAAGAAAGAAGGCGTAACTTTATTGTTGCTGCAACCGCCGCCGCTATGTTGTGAAGACGCTGTGTGTTTTTGTTTGCGAAAGCGAAACTACTTTGTTTGGTCTTCCAAACGAGGACACGACTAGAAATCAGTGGTTAAGTTGTATTTACAACACTGTTCCAGAACAGTTCAA